CCCCAGCATGATGAGCGATGGCTGGAAGTTGAGGGCCAGGCCCAGGCCTGCGGGCGAGGGGACACGGCTGGGGTGCCCCTTCTGGCCTCAACGGCAGGGCCAGGCTGGGCCGGGACAGGGAGGATAAGTCCGAATCCGGGATGTTGAGCCGGATACTGGAGGGGGCACCCCTTTGGGGGAAACTGGGGACTGAGAGACTTGCAGCAGGGACTCCCGACCTGCACCCACATGTGGGTTACGACACCCACATCCCTGCAGGGGAGAGACATGGGTGCCCTCACCTGTGAGCACCCCAGCTGTCAGGTATAACTCCAGGAGGCGCGAGGCAAAGGAAGCCAGGATCATGCCCGCAGAAGCCAGGAGCCCACCAGCCAGCATCACTGGACGACAGCCAAAACGTGTCACGAGGATGCTGGACAAGGGGCCTGTGGGCAGAGCAGGGGCACCATCCAGGTTAGACCAATCTTCCCTCCAGAAAATGTGCCAGGCCTTGCCTTGTACCTCTGAGGTCTGAAAGACGGTATTTACTCCCTCCTCCCCAGCCTCTTCAGAGACAAAGAGGGCAGTGTTTGGTTGAGGTCACACAGCTTGACAGGCAGACAGGATGGTGTGTGTGTGTGTGTGTGTGTGTGTGTGTGTGTGTGTGTGTGTGTGTGTGTGTGTGTGTCTGTCTGTCTGTCTGTCTGTCTGTCTGGTGGCCACCCATCCCTCACTTTCTTGAGAGCCCAGAACCAAAGTAGGAAGGATGGCTTCCACTCTTCATCTCTGAATCCCACCAGACCACTATCCTCCTGAAGGCTCCCACCGTCTCAAACTCCAGCATCAGTGCTATGGGGAGCTGGAATGCTTCTCCAGGTTAATGTAGCCCAGTGTAGGTTTGCTGGCAGGAAATTCCTCCATGCCAGCATTAGGAGGGGGTTTCCATTTCCATCTATGTGCCCTACCTGCTCTTTTCTAGGGCTGAGGCTTCCACGTGCTGGGGGGGGGGCAGCAGTGGCTCTAGATCCCCTACCCCAGATGCTGGACCCCAGGAACTCTGGGAGGAATGCTGACCCGTGCCGTAGAGCATGGCCAGCATGATGGAGGACACCCAGGCTGTGTCACTGTAACCTGCACCGAAGTCGTGCTTGAGCTCTCCGAAGAAGACGCTCACAGCCTTGGGGAAGCCGTAGGCGAAGCCGGTGATCACGAAGCAGGCGCCCAGCACCACCCAGCCCCAGCCACCATCTGGGGGGTTTGCAGCCCGTCGTGAGCCAGTGCCCATTGCCTCTACCTCTGCTGGGGAAGAGGGGGACAAAAGGCCGTGGTGGGTGCTGTAGAGGAGTGGATTAAGACCCACAAGGAAAACAGCCCCGGGCTGCCCACTGAACCCTTTCAGGGTTATAGATCCAGCAAGGGAGGAAGGCCCTAAGTCTTCCCACCTTCCTGCAAAGGCCTGTGAAGGGTGAACGGAGACTTGACTTCAAGGGTTCCTCACAAGGGTTCCTCTCCTCCTGGGACCTAGTAATGACAAAAGAAGGGGTGCAGTGAGTGCCAGAGCCCAGCAGCCACTGTGGACCCCTGAGGTAGGTGAGTGAGTGTGCAGGACTGTCAATATCTGCTATGAGTACATGTAGGTTTGTGGGTTTGTGGACAAATGAGCCAGTCACCCAGTGGGGGCAGATGCCAGCTGCAGTGGCCCTCTAGTTTGTTCCTAACTTTTTTCAGTGACCAGGAATAACTCATGATTAAAACAACAGGGAATACTGGCCTCGTCTCAGCAGCCTTTGGTCCAGCTTGTACCAGTTCTGGAAGGAGTTTGCCCTGTGACTTGGACAAGTCTCCTTTCCTGGCTGAGCCTCAGTTTCCCCACCAGTAGGATGGCTGATTGAGCACCGGTAGACCAGCTGAAAACCTTGGGGAAGAGGAGGGCCTCTGGAAGAGAGACCTGAACCCCAATACTCCATAACCTAGGCTCTCCATCCTTAGGCATGGGATGAGTTCCAAAGTCCTACTGCATCCACCACAGGTGAGGAGGGTGGGGGCCCAGGGAAGCCCTAAAGGCTTTCCCTCCAGGACCTCTCCCCAGGGACACCTGGGACTCTGCCCTCCCCCAGTTTCAGGTTCTGACGTTCCTTGCCCCCCATCCCCAGCATGGCTATGAACACAGGGATGGGAAACTGGGCCCTGGCAGCCCTCCCAATACACTCACCTGGACTTGCCTCACATCTCCTGAGGCCTTCAGGGAGGGGCTGCCTCCAGTTTCCTGAAACTGGCAGATACACCAACAGCCTTGACTGGCTCCTGTGGCTGCACTCTTGCCGACTCAACTCCTACCCCAGGCCTGCGGCTTATAGTCCCCTCATCCCACCCCTGCTAAGAGGCTTTTACCAGTAAGGGAGTTGAGCACAAGTGACCATGAGCCAGCGGGCCAAAGGGCAAGGAGACCCCCCTTCACCTTCCGGGTACTTCTGATAGAGGCACAAGCCCTGCCTTGCAGGGGGTGGGGGGATGATCTAGGCATGGGGGTACAGTGCACCATTGCTCCCACCCCAGCCCCAGGTCACATTCCAGGAGGGGCTCCTGGCTTCCCTTGGATAAGGCTAATCCAGTCCTGAGCTTGGCTGTGAGGGGGTGGAGGGACTGGAACAAAGGGAGCTGTGTCCAGCTAAAGGGAACAGGCGCCATTCTTTGGGATGCCATTTGGAGGTGGGGGGTGAAGGTGAGAGCCATAGTGCAACCCAAAGAGTCCCGAGGGGCTGGAGGAAAGACAGCCTAGAGGAGCCCCACCTCCAAGGCCTTACCCTGTCCCCAAATCAGACAGCTTCACTGCCACTGTGCCCACTTTCTTTATTTTTTACCATTTACAAAAGCTAAACAGGGACATATATGGGACAGGGGTGGAGGAGGAGGCATTTGCCTTTGGGGCACAGGCGGGAAGAAGCTGGGAGGCAAGAGGCTGGATCCTGGGGAGTCTTGGGGTCCCTGAGAGCAACAAGCTGCTCTGTGACCCCATCCCCTTCTCCCTGCTCTGTGTTGCAGGCCCAGCCCTCAGGGAGCTCCTGGGCTTCAGGCAGAGGGGTAAGGATGGTCCCCTGGCATCTTGGATCCACGGCTGCTGCTGTTTGCTGGAAGAGCCTTGGGCAAGTGTGCTGGGCCACCTCAGGCCCCGGTGCAGGACGTCGCCTCAGCGGATGAGGGGTGCTGAGCGGTCATTGGTGACAGTGGGACGCAGCTTCACAGTGGCAAAGGGATTTGTACCCCTGTGGGGGATAGGCTAGGGGAAGGGGGGGAGACACCCCCTAGCCCCGTCTGTGTGTCTAGGGAGAGTGGCCAGGCAGCTGGCCAAGCATCTGCTTCTTGCCACCCGCCTGTTTAGAGTCACCTGCTCCCATCTGGCTTCCTGCCCACTGGGACTCACCGTGGAAAGAGCTCTGGGGGTTGCTGTTCCCAGGACATAAGTTTCTGTATGAAGGGAGGGCATGTTCAGGGGCAAAGGGAAGATGGGCTCCCACCACTCACCCCAAGAGAGCACAGGACTGGGAGGTAGAGGCCCTGAAGGGCCAGATTTGAGGACACAGTGCAGCTCAAAGTCTGGTTTCCGAGAAAGCTCTAGGTTTTGCACAGTGCCATGGCCTGGGGCTAACTGCCCCTGCAAGGTAGAGCTGGTGACCCCATGGCCCCAGCCCACTCCTTCACCACCATTACCAAACCACTTCCTATCCCACCAAGAATGGCCAAGGTCTCCCTTGCCGGGCTACTCCATAGGTCTGGCCAGGCTGAGGACAGGTGGGGCTGACCTTGACATCGGTGGCTGCCCCCATGCTGCCCACACTGCTTCGCCTGCTGCTGGGCAAGGGTGTGGGTACGGGGCTGGGGGCACGGCTGGGGACACCGCTGGGGTTCCGGGAGCGAGACTGGCTATCCCAGTAGTCTGATGAGGCTGCAGGGTTGCCTGGCCTGTCCAAGAGGTCATCAAGGCTGTGGCTGCCCCGGAGGGGGTAGGACCTGAGTCAGAGAAAGCAGGGAGGTCCGATGCCCACTCCCACCTGCTGGGCCTGAGGCTGGGGAATGACTGTGAAGGAGCCTTGAGAGAACTACACAGCAGCCTTCATTAGGGGGTGGGAAATATGGGCCACAGTTCTCAAGAGGCCAAAGAGGACAGATTTTTATCTCATATATGCTTCCTAGAGGGAGGGACAGCCACACCCTTGGGGCCCCACCCCAACTAAGGTACCTGGAAGGCAGTTCATTCATTGGGCTCATGGAGGCCATAGAGTTCATGGGAGTCACGGGGTTCATGGGGTTCACTGGCATCTCCTCCAAAGGTTTCACATAGGCCTCAGGGAACCAGCCACTCCTGTAAGGTGGATATCAATGGCCCCTTGAGCAAGCCCTAGTAAGCAGGGCAGCAGGCAGCCTGGGCTCTGAAGACAATACAGACAGTGGCCTGCCTCACCCCACCAACATGGCTTCCTGGTAGTCAAGGCTTAAAAGAGCCTGTGCCACTTAACCTCATGTTCCACCGGGGACGTATAGTGATGGCCCTCAGCCATGGGCCCATTTCACAGTGTTCAGCACCAGTTTGGAGTTGATACAGTGATAGCCCTCAGCCATGGGCCCATTTCACAGTGTTCAGCACCAGTTTGGAGTTGGCCTAGGCTAGTGAGTGGCACAGTTATGAGAGTCCCCAGCCACCTGGTTAGGTACCCCTTAATCTTTCAGAAAGCCCACAGAGGATGGACAGCAGACACTGGGAGAATGTCCCCCAGAGAGTACTCCTCATCCAAAAGTGACTGACATAACAATCCATGCCCAGTGAGGAGATGCTTCCCTGACCTCCACCCTGCAGGCGGTGGACAGTTGTATCTAGTAGGCTTTGTGTCAGTGTTCGGCAAGCCACCTGTGGGTCTGTCTGCATGGCTGCAGTTGCATACCTACAGTTGAGACTGTCACTGCCCTCTGCTCCTGGTCCATCAACTTCCACCCCTAACTAGAAGTCACACTACCTCCCTCAGCCCCCACCTCGGCTCACCCACCCATAACTCACCTGGGCAGCCACCCACGGGCCTCCACCAGTGTATCCACTGGTCACCCATCCATACTTTCACCTGGGCCCCCCTCAACCCTATCCCCTACTTGCTGATCGTTCACCGCCCTGTTCTTGTGTGGGACTGCTCCCAGCTGTCACCTCTTGGCCCTTCAGGGCTCGCACATTGGCTTCTATCTATATCTTTCTGTACGCCCTGGGAGAGAGTCACAGGCTGAGCCACATCCTGTCCCTTCTTGCAGAGACTAGAGCCCCTTACACTCCCAAGAGGGCCACTAGTCCCATTTGTGTGGAGACTCAGGGGTGTCTAGCTCACTCCTCCTCCACACTAGGGTGCAGAACAGCTCGTTTGAGTTCTTCGGGGGCTGTGAGCTGTACAGTGCTTGCAGGGATCTCAGCTCCGGCACAGGAGGGTGCAGGGGGGGTGCACAGGAGGCATGAAGGCAGTGGGGTTTTGCCGAGTCCCTTTGCCCGCTGCCCATCCCATCTATCCCCTTCTCCGAGGCCCCTACTTGGTTCTTCTCAGCCCCACGAACAGCTGAGTAGACGGGCAGGGATTGGAGAAGGGGACAGGGAGGCCTGGAAACCTC